CGAGATGGATCAGCCAAATGACATCATTGATGTCATCAAGTGTGGCAGCTGTAGTGAGGTTGGCCCAGGATCGGACATTGTTTCGTCCTGCTGTGCATGGGGTCGCTATGAGTCGGTTCCGACTCGATGGCACCTGACAACAACAACAACATGAGCAAAATATTGAGTGATAAAGAAAGCATCAAAGGAAGATGGAAGGAATATACAGAGTAACTATACCAAAAAGAAATGGTTGATGTTCTACCATTTCAAGAGGTAGTATATGATCAAGAGCCAATGACGTGAGACCTGGGGACTTCTGGGTCCATGGACGAGGATATAGCCATGGAGCTGAGAATAAAGCATCCAGCTGATATGAAGTGAGGGGAGCTGAATGAGAATGCCCAAATTTTCAGATTGTACCCATTTGACCCAGCTTTGATGGCTGGATGATCAGAACTTGACTTTGCTGTTGTTGTTATGTGCCATCGAGTTGGTACCAACTGATAGCAACACTATGCACAGCAGAACGAAACACTGCTCAATCCTAGCCCAACCTCACTATTGTTGTCACTCTTGAGTCCATCGATGCTGCCACTTGGCCCGTCCAGATTGATAATGGACCTTCAATAAAGGTTTGGCCCAGGATGGGGCTGAGTAATCCACTGGAAGCTGCTGCCTCTGCAGGAGGTCTTGTAAAACACAGCCTGGTTTTGAACCCAAGGGACCTCCCCACAGCAAGCGGAGATTCTTGTACTCATTGAGTGTCTTGGACAACTTGTCACCCTCATTTGTGCATCAGATTCCTCATTTGGAGGCAAAAAGAGGCTCCTCAGTCTACTCCCTCACCCATGGGTATCTCTGCCCCTAGAAAGTCCCAGCCCCAGCACCTGCCCTACCTGGGTAAGCTCATCTCTGATGGTGAAGTTGGTAACTGTGACATTCTTTCCATCTGGCCAGCGGGTCAGTGAGATGCCCAGTTGCTGGGAGGCCAGGATGTGGGCGATTTCAGACAGACTCTCCTGTAGTGAATGTTTGACATGCTCCATGGGCATGAAGGATGGGTGGAAGATGCCCAGGTGCAGCCTCTTGACCTGGATTGTTATTCCCAGGAGTTGTGAGCAGCAATAGTCTGTAGGAGAGGCAGGGGGCTCCTTAAGCACCCAGAAGATGGCCCACACCTCCCTGACAGCTCAGTCTACTCTCCTGTGTGCCATGGGGCCAAAGGCCTGGGTGACTCTCCAGCTTAGAATGTTAGTACCTAGCCTCCTTTCCCCCAGGAGACCTTGTAAACAGCCCTTACTGGGACTTCTCAGGTAATAAGGAGTGGCTAGTCTATATCCTTCTGATATTCTCTGCTTTCAGCCAAGATCCATC